ACACACACACACACACACACACACACACACACACACACACACACACACACACACACACACTGGGAGATTTGAGTTACTCCTAAACATAATCAATAGAATTCTTTAAATTTGGGATTAACACATTTAAAATTGTTAGCATATATCTCAAGTGTCAGCAGACAGCTAATCTGGAGTGATGTTTGCTAACATTGGTCATCTGCATCCCTGCAGAGATATAGATTTAACTACTGAATATCATTTCAATGATTTATGAGGAGCGATGATGAGAATTGTAACTGTGTTTTAACAGGGTTATGATCCATTTCTGCTCAGTGAAAACAGAAGTCTTTTTCTTGAGAAACAATCACATTTTTAAGTGACCCAAACTTTTGAGCTGTTCGGCATGGTTCTTCCTTTGTCCCTCTGAAATTCTTAACATTTGGCCTTGTTGTTCTTCTATCATCCTGCTATGACATAAAGACAAATGACAACTGGAATATAAATTCTTTCTTTAGCAAGGCTTAGTTAGCATTAGTTAATTAGTTCTCATGTTTTACTTATCGGGTCCCAGATAATACCCTGTCTATTAGCTCCTAACAACAAATTTTACAATCACGAACTGACCCTAAAATAAAATCTCACAATTTTTGAGAGTTCTTCCAAGCTATACATTAATACAAGATTTGTCAATATTCACACTTCAGATCACAGAGCTGTCAGCAGAGCTGGCTGATGAGCGCAACACTGGGGAATCTGCCTCCCAGTTGCTGGAGACAGAAACTTCTGAGAGACTGCGTTTGGAGAAGGACATGAAGGACCTGCAGGTAAAGATGGAAACATACACACATGCATGTACACTGGAGAAAAGTCTTGTCACCAGCTACTATAATGCTGTATTTCCGGGCTACCTCATTTTGACTTCTACTTTGAGGTGAGCGTATTATTCATCCAGCTCAGAAAACTTGATATTTGGGCTTGTGAATGCAATTCATATTCAGGAGAGGAACACTCCTGAAATTGCACTGCTTACCTGCAGTTTGTGGTTTGCAGCGTGGGCCCCTTGAGCCAGGTAACAAAATTATAATTCCACGTTGCTGTGTGTGCAGGACACCCTGGCTCAGGGTGTCTGTCCCATTATTCTCGTACTGTTGCTTTGACCGTGTAATGAAATTGGACATTTTTGCTTATGCATTGCAACATATACTGAATGTTGTGGTAGCAGTATTTTTGACTGTTATTTGTATTTCAAGACTGCCATTTTTGCAATAATAAATCAGATGACAAAAGAACACCAGCGTCATTTTCGCACATGAGTAGTAATGTTAAACAGTCATGACATTTACTGCTGAATTGGTTCACTGTTTATTCAGTAAAAGAGTCTAGATACCTGAAATGATCATCAAATAAGAAACAAACTACCCAGTTTTAAGAAAATGAGACTTTCAACTTTAAATATTTACACAACTAAAAACTTTGCTGTGTGTGGCAGCAGAATTTGTTTGACTCAAAGGGGCTTTGGTAATGCTCCTTTGTCAATGACCAACAGACAGAGATAGAATGTTGAAATCAGTTTGGGTATAAGCAGTAGGAGAGAAAGAGCGAGGAAGGTAAGGCTAACTTAGATTAGTCAGGGATGGTGGATATACTGGACAAAGGATGCTGAACTGCCAACAGGAGGAAGAGATGATGATCACAGAGATGACTCAAGGATGTGCAGACGATTGATGTAAAAGAAGATGATAGAATGAAATTGAAGTAGATGATACCTAAAGGGAGAAGCATAACGAAGAAAATAAATAAGAACATGTGTTATATTTTAATGTAGCCAAAATCCAAGCACTGTTCATTTCACTAAGTAATATTTTTCACCCAGACCCAGTTCTGACCTCTGAGCTGTGAGCAAAATTATGTTAAGGGGACCCTTCACCTGACCCATGAACTTTTACACACAGTTAAAAATGCTACTCAAGTCTTAACAATGTAATGGACCTTTTCAAAACCACATTCTTGATTAATCTTCGTAGAGTTTTGTTGCCATTGTTATAGAAGCTGCTTGTTATCCCTAATCCACCAGGCCAAATTTGACAGCACGAAGAAAGAGATGGAGTCTATGGAGATGGAGGTGATGGAGGCTCGACTCATCCGTGCTTCCGAACTCAGTGGAGAGGTGGATGATGATGAGACAGGTTAGACACGACCTCCCAAGCACAACAATACTGACCAATCAGGACATAGTGATACTGATCACTCCTGGGTGTCAAGCTTCTTGTCACTAAATCAAATGAGTATAACTTATTCATAACTCTACACATTTCCAAACCCTGTTTGTACTTCCATAGATTTATAATTGCATGCAATAATTCACTTCCTCTCATTTTTATTGGTCGAGCCCCCTCAATACTAAGAGCTACATTCTAGTAAACCTATACAGTTGTTTTTGTAACTATTTTAAGGTCTATGAGGGTGTACTACTGCAGCATCATTATATCGTGTATGTAATGTAACAAAGGGGGAAAAAACAACAAGGAACGTTAGTGGTTGCTACAGTTTCTCTTTCAGCAATTCTATCTTTCACTTGAGGCTTTCTAAATACCTAAAACGAAATTAACACTTGACAATCTCTGCACAAGCTCACATCATCAAATCATTCTTGTGGTTTGTGTTATGTTTTCTGTTCCCTAAATGGACTCTACTTCACATAGCCCCGCACAGCTGTTACAGTACCAGTTATTCCAGACTGTTAGAAAAACCCAGTGTGTGTTCTTTAGTGGGGGTGCAGGAACCGCAGGGGTAATGTCCAATCGATGCTTTGACAAAAGCCAAGAAAAATCCAATGTGAAGAAGTACATTAGAGATGGATTGGTTCAATGCAAGAAAGGAAGCAAGGACTCAGTTCATGACGCCCTGCAGGCCTGCTGCCAGCCGTCTTTGTTTGGCCTGCAGACTTTGTGAAAGAAGAATTGATTCCTCAGTGTCTCCAGCTTGCAACAGCTTTTCACTTTTGTACTACAGTAAAGGAAAAATGATGTAGCACCACACTCATGGAGGGGTATTTATGCAGGACTGAAGTACATTCAGTACCTGTAGGTTGCTCCTCGTGGCTATAACTGACAATTGTATAGGTCTTACTAAAGTGCAGTTCAGAGTATTGAGGTTTGTTGGTAAAATAAAAGAAGGTTGAATTAATGGACACTGGACAATTCCCTGAAGACGCTCTGTAGGGTTTAGTCAGGTAACTTAGCTGGTCATTCAAGCACAGTAATAACACTGTCACTGTGGGCATTTGCTAAGTCCTGTTGGAAAATGAAATCTGCATTTCAATTAAGCTTTACAATAGATGTATGAATCGCTTTAAGATATCCTTGGAGATGTTTTGCCTTGGACTAAGCAAGGTTGACTTTAGTTCATAGCATCTAAATGTTTTTATTCTCAGCCTTTCAGAATGTCTTTTATGGCTGGATACAGTAAATACATGTGTGGTAGTGAGTACATGGGGTAGCACAAGTGACAGAGCACATGATGTAGACAATAAAAGTACGAAATATCACAGGAGGAGAGTGGAAGCTGAAGTATGAGCGAGCAATCAGGGAGATCGAGTTCACCAAGAAGAGACTGCAGCAGGAGCTTGATGACAAACTGGAGGTGGAGCAGCAGAACAAGCGGCAGCTGGAGAGGAGGGTGAGTGGACACTGATACATATTTATGAACAGAATTCAATTTTTTCTTTACAGTAAAATCTTGGGCTTTATCTTAATTATATGACTCTGATTTCCTTATTTTATTACAAACGTTTTTAGTATATATATATATATATATATATATATATATATATATATATATATATATATATATATATATATATATATATATATATATATATTTTCTGACAATATAATGTGTCATACCAAAACATGCAACACATACTTTCATGGCTCCCAGATAACGAGGGTATAACAACATAGCTGGTTAGTTTTAAACACATTAAGAAGGGAATTAATTATTTCAGGTGATGATGTCATGAAGCTGTTTAAGTTCTTACCAGACGTGTGCATAGCTGTCATCAATGCAAACTGTGACTACTTTAAGGAATTGACAGCAAGAAAGATGATTTGCTTTGTTCACACTTTGCTAAATGGCCTTAACTGTTGTCTCTTCTGAGACTTTGATGATAGGGTGAATCTGGGTTAAATCACAAGTAACATCCTCACTTATCTGATTAGAAATTATAATTTGATTTGAGCATCTATTGCAGTAAGAGTGCTCAGCAAGTGGTAATGGTATCCTTAAGCAAAACAAACACTTGCACTCAAAGCAAGCACATTTATGACTGAAATGTGAACTGAAAGCACATTGGAATTTTTTTGCCATTAAATCCAGTTTTCTTCTATTAATTTGAAAACTAATCTCATTCCCCACGTGGTTTTTAACCTTCAATGGTCTTAATAAGCTGTTTTAAAAACAATAAATTGCTTGCGTACTGCTTGACTGTATTTTTTATGCATTCATCAAACAGGCTTCTTAACATATTGAGGATACTTTTTGTGCAGATCAGTGACCTGGAGGCTGATTATGAGGAGTCTCAGCGAAATATCCAGCAGCTGAAGAAGAAAGCCCAGCGACTGACAGCTGAGCTGCAGGACACTAAACTTCACCTGGAGGGTCAGCAGAGTCGCAACCATGATTTGGAGAAGAAGCAGAGGAAGTCAGTACACAAACACACGCAGTCAAGTTTTACCTGTCATGTCATCACACAGTTCTATTACTTTACCTACCTCTGCCTGGTTCCTGGAAGGCCCATTAGTAATGGTGTAATAACAACAGTAATTGTAAATAAATTACAGTGTTTTATGTGTGTGTGTGTGTGTGTGTGTGTGTGTGTGTGTGTGTGTGTGTGTGTGTGTGTGTGTGTGTGTATTTTTGAAAGGTTTGACAGTGAGCTGAGTGCAGCCCAGGATGAGGTGCAGAGGGAGAGAAGCCTGAGGGAGAAACTGGCTCGAGAGAAAGATGTGCTGACCGGAGAGGTCTTCGGCCTCCGGCAGCAGCTGGAGGTCTGTGTCTCTGTGGTCTACACTGTGGCACGTTGCTTTAGTGAAGGGGTTTTTCTTTTCTTGGGACTTGGTGCGTTATTTGTGAATTATTTAGTGTCAGATACCCCAGCATTTTAAAGTTTTCAGCATCCTACTCATATTTAGATTTTGTATTTACTCTGTCACTTATTGTCTTTGAGCAGTAAAGACAATCAGTATGTTTAGATGAGCATGTGTGATCATTGTGAGTTTAAGGGGCGTATAAAGCTGCAAGAAGAAATTGTTGTTTGGGCCTCCTTTGTAGTTACCAGGATGGCAGCACAATATGATCCAAGATTATGCGGGGCCGTGCAAGCCAAAATTCATTCTTTCACTCTCACACACATACATTCTTCTTTCACACACATATACTTTCACTCTCACATAGTTTTATTTTAATTTTTATATTTAAATATTTTTATTCTCATGTTTACACATATTTAACACACACATTGCAATATTGTGTTCTCTTATACATGTATTTTAATGTACATATTTACAAATTTTCACTGTAACATACATGCATTTTCAATTATGCATTCCTACATTTTGCTCTCATTTACATGCATTCAACATGCATTTCATCTCACAAATAATATATGTATGTAAGAAGAGAATGCATACATGTCTGAAGAAAATATATGTATGCAAGAGAATAATGTATGTGAATGAAAGAGTGTAGTGGAAACAGAAGGCTGGGTGTCTGTACCGCTGTGATTGGCTGAGAAGCACGCACGGGTCACTTTCAAGTGTCTGACAGCATGGAGGGAGGAGAAGAAACTCGAGTTCTTCAGCAAGCTGTGTATGGCGTTATTTTTGTGCTACTATTCTGAGCGCAAGTAAAAAAAAGTTTGCAGGTGCAAGTGTTGCATTTTGAGGAGAAATTTATTTTGAGCGAAGAAAAGCTGAATTTGAGTGAACAAAATTCATTGCTGCGTGCAAAAAATGTATTTCAGTGTTTGCTATTATCCACACACACACACACACACATATTTGCGCTCGCTCGCAATGTGTTGCTCGCGCTCTCAACATTTCTGCCCGTGCGCGCTCAACTCTTTCTCTACACTGTTATATTTGTGCCACAAAACCAGCCAATCACAGACTTGGATGCAAAAAAATCTGATTGGCTGTTCTGGTCTCCAATCAGCTCGAAATGACAGAAATGCAATATCCCAGAATCCATTTCGTCCAAAACTCAAACGAGGCAGTGGCGGAGGAACACAGAGTGGCGGAGTTTGAAATATTACTCTGTCTGGGTCACAAAATAAACTTTTAAGATATTTTCATGCGAGAATGGTGCTGTGTAAACTTCAATATCTGCTCGATTCATCAAGACATCACATATTTGCATAAGTGCTCTGACGTTTTTGGAGATGCCTATTACCCACCAGCTGACCGGGTGGTCATTCGGGTTAAACATAATATATAAGGCTCAACTGACAAAAAATCACGACTACACCACCAGGTGTTATCGGAAAAACCATAAAGCCTTTGAACTAAAACAAACGCTGTTGTGACAGTGACGTACACGGTCTTATTGGTATATATGTATGATTTGTATCACCTTCATGTTTCCAAACCGATATCATGAGCAGCAGCTTTTACAGCTGTGGCTCCAGCAAACATCAGCTGATACTAGAAATTAATTTTAAATAAATTCTAACAACAGCTTATCAAGCTTGAACGTGCTGCTGTTGTTGTTTAGCGCAACATCCGCTGGTTTCCTGTTTCTGGCGCAAAGTGGGAGATAAACAAACAAGAGAGACGATCAGCTGCAACAGGAGAGGGAGGGAGAGAGAGAATGAGGGGAGAAGAGGCAGCTGTGTAACATAAAGACAGAATAACTCCAGCTTTGTCTTTTTTTCATTCTAGCTGAAGTACGGTACTAATCGCGTTAAGCACGAGCAACACATTGCTCTCTTCTCTTCACTCAAAATAAATTTCTCCTCAAAATGCAACACTTGCACCTGCAAACTTTTTTTTACTTGCGCTCAGAATAGTAGCACAAAAATAACGCCATACACAGCTTGCTGAAGAACTCGAGTTTCTTCTCCTCCCTCCATGCTGTCAGACACTTGAAAGTGACCCGTGCGTGCTTCTCAGCCAATCACAGCGGTACAGACACCCAGCCTTCCGTTTCCACTACACTCTTTCATTCACATACATTATTCTCTTGCATACATATATTTTCTTCAGACATGTAAGCATTCTCTTCTTACATACATATATTATTTGTGAGTTTAAATCCAAATTGAATGCATGTAAATGAGAGCAAAATGTAGGAATGCATAAATGAAAATGCATGTATGTTAGAGTGAAAATTTGTAAATATGTACATTAAAATACATGTATAAGAGAACACAATATTGCAATGTGTGTTAAATATGTGTAAACATGAGAATAAAAATATCTAAATATAAAAATTAAAATAAAACTATGTGAGAGTGAAAGCATGAATTTTGGCTTGCACGGCCCCGCATACAAGACTGTACATTTTTATTCTAATTGCGTGTCTAACTCATGCCAAGTCTACAATTTTTATCCACGGAAACTTGTAGCTCTTGATTGCAGTTGTAATATATTGTAAAGACCTCCAGCTTCATACTGTGCTTGTTACAGAGAACAAGCTTGTCATTTTAACTTGTAATTGTAACTTCCCTTTTGTGTGTTTCCACTTTGTGGCTATGTGTAGAGCAGAGTATCTCAACTTTTCCCCATCGTGCACATGTGGCAGTTCCCTTTTCTGTGTTCTGACTCTAATCACCTGTCTTGCAGGACAAAGACCTGGAAGCTTGTGCAGTCAACCTGAAGCTGGAGCAGCTGGAGGCCGAGCTGCAGGATCTCAACTCCCAAGAATCAAAGGATGAGGCATCACTGGCCAAGGTCTGTCCTATTCCTTTTTTAGTTAGTCAAACCATCCACTCCATCTGTTTGTGCCAGTCCACACCCACAAAAAATCAAAACTGTTCTTTGTCTGTTCAACTAAAATAGATATATGATGGTGCATTCATTTATTAATTGAATATCAGGTATTCATTTTGGAACATCGTTTTTTTTCTATGCAGGTGAAGAAGCAGCTTCGTGATCTAGAGGCAAAGGTGAAAGACCAAGAAGAAGAGCTTGATGAGCAGGCTGGTACCATCCAGATGTTGGAGCAGGTACACACGAAAAAGGAAAAAACTAAAAAAAACTCCAATTAAAGCTGTATTTTTACTTAGTAAGATTTTTATTTATATTCCCAACAAGTTGAATCTGTTCATATGGACGTAGCGTTTTCAGTGGGAGAAACGTTTCATCACTCATTCAAGTGACCAATTCACTTTCTCGGATCATGAAGTCATCCAAGTGATGTCATTTGTGACGAAACGTTTCTCCCACTGAAACGCTACGTCCATATGAACAGGACCAGCTTTTTGGGATTTCCTTAACTGGATGATTGAGCATGCATCAAGATATTTTAAGGCTATTTTTAGACTAGTATTAAGGATGGTAGTCATGCTTTTTAGATTACAAAGATGACAGTTTGGAACAAAAAGGACTTTAAGTGTGCATCCACATCCAAGTCCAGTATCCTGCAACTTTAAAGAAAGTTTTCAAAATCTGCACCAAAATGTAATGATTCTTGTTTTTGTACACATTCAACTCCTGAAAGTCATGCTAGTATATTGCTAGTATATTTTGTGAAATATGAATGGCATTGGACACATACCTCCATCAAGGCAAAGACGGAACATTAACATTATGCTTCTTTAAGCCACAGTGAGTCCAGAGCATCTGGTCTGTGTTTCTTTCAGGGTAAGCTACGTCTTGAGATGGAGATGGAGCGCTTGCGTCAAACCCATTCCAAGGAGATTGAGAGCAAAGATGAGGAAGTGGAGGAGATCAGGCAGTCATGTAGCAAAAAGGTGAGAAAGTGCTTTTTCACATTTTGTAACACTTGTCAGCAAGTGTTTAGGCGAACCAGGATTAAAATTTGTGGTTTTGGGCACAGCTAGAGACTAAATCCAGAGACACTGATGGAGAAATTAGCTGTAAGGGCATGCACAGCAAAGGATAAATGAAATGATGACAACAATATGACAAAATCCAATCAAGCTGCTATCAATTCAGTGTTGTTTATGGGAGGTTTCTAGACACCACAGAAAACCGTTGAACTAACATGTACCCTGTTTTAAATGTTTTTCCTTGAGGCTTGACTTTGTGTGCATATTTCTTTTAGGTGCACAGCACTTCAGAGAACAGCTATTGTTTTTAAATGTGCAATAGAATTAAAAATGGTGGATTTGACTTGACTCACAGGGTAGGAATAATGTGTAATTAATCAAAACCTTACTAATAGCCTTCACTTCTTGAAATACTCTGAAAGGTTTGAGAAAAAAAGTCCTTTCTTTTTTGAGATTATAAACTTAACTCACCAAGAATCCAGAAACTACCAAGATGAATTAAATGACACAAGATGTTAAATGGACTGGTGCTAGTACCTGCCTCATTCACCCATTCGCACTCATTCATATAACCAACGTGCACCTAAATGCTGTTGTATCTTGTCCAAGGATGTTTTGGCATATGACACATTTCCATGTACACATGGGTGACAATGGGGGAAAAAGGTGTTCATACGGTGTTGGGCTATTACATGTTACATGTCACAAGAACAACTTCAGGTCCCCGTTTTGCTTTGGTTCTTTGCATCTCATGGGTCTCTGTGGGCCTAATGAGGCACCGTTTTTCCAACGGTAATTCCCTCATTTGTCGTTTCAGTGATGGTGGTGGAGAGCGCCGTCAATCTTGTCCACAATTCTTCAATAAATGTTCAGTTGGCAGTCTAATAGCTGAAGGCCATAGCACACGATTCCCACTGTTGGCATACTCAAACTGTTCAATGACAGGGCATTATGATCCCAGTTTCACTTTGTATTGATTTGCAGTGACCTCTCTTTCTAAGTGAACAAATTGAGCCAAACCAGCTTTTATTGACTATTGCTAATCAATAAAAGCTGGCATGTGAAAATAATATGTTAATATGGTGACTGTGTAAAATGTTCTTGAACAGTTGCATTACGACTAAAGCATCACTGTGTGTGTGTTTGTGTAGCTAAAACAAATGGAAGTCCAGCTTGAAGAGGAGTATGATGAGAAGCAGAAGGTGCTGAAAGAGAAGAGAGAGCTGGAGTCGAACTTTCTGTCTGTACAGGACCAGGTAAATACAATGAACACAGTGCAATGCAACCGGAGCAGCATCTGTAAACAAAAGTAATAAAACTGTAAACAAATATCTGACATGACCTGAGATTTTAGCAAAATTTGGCCTTGTGGACTTAGCAGAAGAAAATTTACATATCTGATTGCAGATCCAATTTTATATGAGTATGGGCAAATAAATTAAACTTAACAAGTTGTGTGAAGTGTTTATGTTTAAAATGAGCTGTGTTATCAAGGGATGTAAGCATCACTCATTTCGTTTCATGATATTCTTTTAGACTACATTTTTTAGACATTTTTGCAAATGTATGCTAAGGTAATAATTCATTTGTTTATTCAAACATACTTAAAACATTTGTAATGCAAAGAATATTGTCTTTAGTAAGTAAGAAACTACTGGGAAAGTTTATCTAGTAGTTAAAATTGTTACTTTCTTCATATGTAGTGTTTCACTGTAGCCAAATTTAATTTATCAATTCAGAAATTTCAGTTTTTTCAGAAAGTTCTATGTATGCTAGATAATCTAAGGATTCTTCCTTTAATGATAAAACACACTGTGTATTACTATAACTACTATAACTACCATAACTTGTCCCACTCAGTCAGTTGAGTCACACTTTGGTCATCTTGGTTCCCAGGTGAGAGGTGGTGACATAGAGGTTGAAAAGCGCTTGAGGAAGGACTTGAAGAGAACCAAGGCTTTGCTAGCAGATGCCCAGATCATGTTGGACCACATAAAGAATAACGCACCCAGCAAGAGGGAGATCGCCCAACTCAAGAATCAGGTACAGCCACAACTTCATAAATTACTGACAGCAGCAGTTTCAAAAACATGGTATCATCTGTGGCTTGTGGGAAAATGGAAAGACCCCTAATCTAAGGAGATAGAAAAACACCAAAGAATGAAAGAAGTCAAATACTGACACCAGCACATTTACATGTTAACACATTTTATGCTCCTGTTATGGTAATTAGCATAATCTTGGATTATTTTTTGTGACAGTTTTTCAGGCTTTAAACTGTAAAACACCCCCTGATGTGATTGAGTTATGACTCAAAGCATTAATGTCTGTGGCCTCACTTCAACTCCCCTGTGCCTTCTTACGGGACTGACCCGTCTGAAAACCTCTGATCCAAAGCAGAAGATTTTCCAAATAAAGCCCAGCCACCTGATTCTTGACTGGGACCAGAATCCATTAGAAAAACTGTAATATATCTACTGGGATACTAACTGTGAAGTCGTCCTGAGCTCATTCTTTTCCTCAATGTCTGTGTGTTTCAGTTAGAGGAGTCGGAGTTCACCTGTGCAGCTGCAGTTAAAGCTAAAAAGTCCATGGAGGTGGAGATTGAAGACCTACATGTTCAGATGGAGGACATTTCCAAAACGAAACAGGCGGTCAGTACAGCTCACTAGATTTCCTTCTCAGCCTTTAGAAGGAGAATTTTCAGCATGCAGTCTTAGGTGAAGGTTAGGATTCTTCCTAAGAAAAAGCTAAAGCTGTCTCCACTATGTAGGGCATTTTCTTTCAGATGTCATAAGGCATAAGATGTCATCTGTGCTGGTAGAGGGGTATCAGTAGATATGTTGAATCTCTACTTTTAGCCAGAGATTAGTGAGAGATTGAAGACATACCTGTTTCCTGTGAGACCCCTCTGAGCTCATCTTACTCTTTCTGGTCCTCTTTTTTAAATTTTTTTAAAAATATATTTACATACAAAGACAATATAATTTTCATGAAGAGATTTTTCTTAGTCACTGCAAAATACAACTCTCTTCTTCTTCTAAGAAGCCATTTTTAGCTCCTTAGTTTTTTTCTTAGTTTGCTCCTGTCAGAAACGCTCATAATCTGTTTTGACCTTTATATTTTCTGTCCTTTTCGGAATGACTTATCTTACGTTAAGCCCGGTTCCCATGATAATCTGGTTTTCACACATCGGTCAGAGTGTGTTTTCTCCTTTCTCCCATGTTTCTCTTGCCTGTCATTTACTCTACTCTTACTCTCTGTGAAGTTTAATCTCCTTCTGGTTCTTCTCCTGCCTGTTGAAAAGAAACGACTGTCTATCACACAATGGTTGTTCACGTATTGCTAAAACCAATTTAAATAACAAAAAGATTAACTTTAATTTTAGGTGAATATTATGCCATTATAGTCAGTCAAATCGTGGAAGGATGGATGGAATTAATGAACGGGTGGCTTTACATATCAATACTTAATCATATAATTATATAATAAAATGTTCCTTTGGCTTTCTATTAATCTGCCAAACTTGTGAAGCCTGCTGCACACTTCTAGTCTTTTATTGATTTCATTGCACACTGTACTTGAAGCCAGATGTAGAGAGGTGCAAGGTCAGGAATTTGTTTGTACTGAAGGTGGTTTGAAGAGTTTTAGCTTCTGGTAGTTTCTGCATTTTCACATAATCACCATAGAGTGTTGAGTGTAGAGTGTATGTATTATGTAGAAGAAGCTTAACTTCTACATATTCCTTTATAGTCAATGAGCAAAAAAATGAAATGAAAAAAGTAAAGAAATCAGTATAAATATATATTAATTACACTGCGTTACAGAAACAGCTGATCAGTTGTAAGAAGAGAAAAGTGTCATATAAATACCAGTTAATTCTAATACACCTGTGTTCAGCTGTTTTTATTCTTTTATTCATGCTGCACTCTGTGTGGGTATTTTTAGCTTTCTGCAGTCCTTCCTGGCTGGACGTGTAATATATTATTACTTCCAGTGCCCAACGTATCCTTTCCCCAGAGCAGTGGTGGAAAACGTTTTACTGCTCCCATGTTTGCTTATGGGTCCAAAAAAAAGGTTTTACCTTTTATATTTTTAAATATTAATATAAAGGTTTATTATTTACAATCTTCATCATCTAAATCTGCAAAATAATAAGCTAGTAAACCAGACAACAAGAAAAAAGCATAATTAATTTAGTGTTTCTAGTTCCCAGGTGAACTCATAACTGGGCTTGGTGAAAATAGCCACTGGCACGAACAGGCCAGCAGGTGGCTACAAAACTGGCCCCACACGTTTTTTTCTTATTTTATTTCGACGTCACCATGAAAATAATAGAAATTAGATTCTGGTGACTCTTTGTTCAGCTAGCCAACTGTGACCACCAGATGGCAGTAAATTACAGGATGAGTTCAAAGAAGCAACATGAGATCATTTGTGGAGCAGTACAGTTTAATCGATACCTATTTTTAGATTTCACTGGGCAGGCAGTGCTTGCCTTGCTTGTCCTGATGTATAAACTGGAAGAAATGGCACTGAACATTCACTTCAGTTGCTAATTCTTTCTAATTAGTGTCATCGTGAATGCAGGTTAATGAAGAGCTTCGCTGAGAATTCAGCTGCATGAGCATTTAGATTGAGCCAACACAGTTAAATCTGGACAAGATAAAAGGTTTTTGTATTAACTGAATTAGCAGAGAAACCCAGGTCATAGTTTGGAAACGTCAGAGAAACACCACATTTCATATTCACACACTCTTTCAAAAATACTTTTGAATGAACAGCCGACTGGCAAAAAGGAGAGAAGATACAGTGTAATCAAAAGGCGATTTCTTAGTCTTTAGTTTATTTTGTCACACTTGTATGTTTCAGATCAACAAAGAGCATTTTGTATTTGATAAAAGTAACTTGTGTAAATACAGTACATGTATTTTCTTACTTTTCATTTTATTTATTATTACTATTACTTGAAAAAGGTTCTCCAAACCTACCTGACCCTGTGTGAAAAAGTCATTATTACCAACCTAATAACCAGTTGTCTGAATCTTTGCAGCAAGGACTGCGATCAAGTGTTTGATATTGGTGGCAATGAGCCATTCATAGTACAATGGAGGAATTTTGGCCCACTCTTCTTTAATTCAGTGACATTGGAGAGTTCTTGAACGTGAAAGGCCTCTTTAAGGTTATGCACAGCCATATCAGTCTGATTTAATTCTAAATTTTCTTTAGACAACTCCAAAACCTTTATTTTGCTTTTTGTTGAGCCATTCAGAGGTGGACTTCTTGTCGTATTTTGGATCATTGTACTGCTGCATAGCCCAAGGGTGCTTGTGCTTTAGGGCACAGACAAATGGCCACCATTCTCCTTCAGGATTTTGAGGTAGAGAGCAGAATTTATGGTTAAATCAATTACGGCAAGTGGTCCGTCACACTATCCCCACCATATTTGCCTCTTGAAGTCTGTTTCTTACAGATGAATCATGAACTCCTGACCTTAAATGAGACCTGTGAGGCCTGCAGTTCCTTAGCTGTTGTTCTGGGTTTGTTTGTGACCTCCTGGATGATTTGTTGGTGCGCTCCTGGAGTAACTTTGGTCGGCTGGCCACCCTTGGAAAGGTTTATTATTTTTCCAGGTTTTCCCTATTTGTGGATAATGGTGCTCGAAGTGATTTGCAATCATTTCCGGAGTGATAGATGTCAGTTACTTTCTCTGTGGCATGGTGGTTATCACTGTTGTCTTGAATAAGAATAACCAGAAGAGAATGAGTGGATTATTTTAATAGGTTAATGCATGATGTTCTTCCTCTTCAGACTTACTCACAGTATGTGTTAAATTAGAATGTGTTATGGCCTCTGTCCCTCTACCCTGGATGTCTTAGCCGTCATTTGTTCTTTCTCAGGTTGTTTGGCGAACGTTGAAAAGTGTTGTACTGCAGAAAATATTCATCTTGGGATATTAATACTGCTTAACTGTTTTGACAGAAAGTGTAATCTATTCAGTAAAATGTGAAGGAGGAGTATATAAGATGAGATAAGGAATCAAGATCACTGTGCCAGCAGCTGTTTGTTTTTGAAATGGTATCTTTGAGAATGACCTCTTCATGCACCCAGCTTGCTGGAAAAGTAAAAGGCTGTGAGAACCGATAACACAAACTGTAATTACATAAATGGAGGATTTTTTATGCAGCCCTAACTACATGACACACTGCAATTCAGTAGAAATAAAATCATGCAAATGACATTTCTTTTAGATGGCTGCCACTTGCATGCTTCTCCCATTGTAATTGCAGTGTTTTGAGAAAATTGTCACACATGTTTTCAACAGCTTTACTTTCCACAAAGAGCTTCTAGCAATCTGAGAGGGAAAATAAAAGAGAGAAAAAAACAAAGAGCCCGGCCATGTAATTGGGCTGAAATTACACTAACAGTCTATTGTTAAATGAGAGTTTGATGCTGGTTACTGGCACTTTTTTCAAGTATCCATCACATGCTCCAGAGATGGAGATGCATTCGCAGCTTTTATCAGCACTCAGCACTGATAAAAGCACTCAACAGTGGATTAAAAAAAGAAAGTGTGATATGTAAATGAATTTGCCCCAGATTCCGCATGGATATTTTTAGTGCATCAAGTGCATCTTGGTACACCTAAGCACTCGGTGCTTTCAATAAAAATAAATAGAAAAATAAAATGAAATCTTAGTTTTATGATCTAAACCCCGATTTTGAAGCTATGGATGTTTGGATCATTCTCTATCCCATTAGACTGTTTTTCACTAAGCGCTGAGTGTCACTAGCTCTTTGTGTTAACTCTGTGCCTAAATTGATTTGTTAACATTTTCACATAGTCACATTAGTCATGATTTATTGATCCATTGCCCTGCACCAACAACCTCTCCTCTTATTTTGTATATTATCCCAGTTATTACAAAAATAGGATTATTTCAGCACAGTTCCCAGGCTGCCAGTCTCTTAATTAGGTATGTTGGTTATATCAGGGAGCTTGGATAACCTCTGGTGAGTTATATGTAGGCTCTATGTCAGCCACATCATCGGGACTGCATTGTGGCCGTTCACAGATTTAGCCAGTCACGCAGTCCATTGGAACAACTGTTGCAGATGACGTGTGGAGCCCAACATTTATCCTGGTCATCCAGCAGACAGCCAAAGCACAATTTGTATATCTTCTTAAGGTTTGTGGTAATTGTGCGACGCTGTGCTTCCGTCATGAATGAACCACACACGTAACAGAAACTGTCTGGATGATTAATACAATTTCTAGACATGGTAACAACTAAAATCAATCACAATTAATGCCGTCAATAACAAACACGGGGAACAGCAAGACCTGAAGGACAGTGTGAGGAAAAGCCTGTAAGATGGTCTGTTATTAGACCTGTGCACATAACAGTTTGTCTGTAATGAACACCGCCTTTGAAGGATGTCCATAAGATCATGTGGCATCAGGACATGTGTTCTCGGTGCAGGTCAATTTTGTATGATTGTGACGATAAGATCTGTAATCATATCATCCACTCTGTCATATGTTCTGGACACTTGGGTGAAGAGAGGACCTGATCACCGCCCAGTGATGAGTTGGATGAGGTGACGAGGGATGATGTCGGACAGACTTTGCACACCAGAAAGTTATTGTGATGGTGTATTGTGAGTAGTGTCTCTGGATCAGGGAGAATTGACTGCCCCAAGTGGAGGAGTTTAAGTATCTTGGAGTCTTCTTTATGAATAACAGGCGAAAGGAGCAGGAGATTGACCGATGAACTGGGCCTCTGCTACTTTGATGCTGACAACCTCACTTATGGTCATGAACTCTAATGACTAAAGAATTAGATTGTGGATATAAACTGCAGAAATGAGCTTTCTGCAAAGGGTCACTGGTCTCTCCTGTAGATTTAGGGTGTCTACACACATTTTATGTTAAAGATGGTACATCTGGTGCGAAAGATGCATAAGAAAGTTTACTTGCTCATTTAAAAAGATCTTAAAAAGCTCTGAATTTTATAAACCACTCTTGTTACTTATCCAGTTCCAGATGCCCGTTAATGGGATTCATCATAATGCAGAAATACTGCACAGTGAGTAATGTTAATGTGTAATCAGTATTGTGAGCCATTTTATCTCCACTCGTTTTCCAACATTCTTTTATATTTTCATTCATTTTACTTTGAAATATATTCTGCAACATCTTAAATTTCTCTTTTGGTAGTGTTGTTTTACAACATAGTAACTGATAATGATAGATTAATAGATGTTACTTTGAGTAATTGGACATGCAATATTGTGAAAAGGTATTTATGCCCTCCCCGATTTCTTTCTTTCTTTTTGCAAATTTTAATATTAGAAAAAGTTAATCTGAGTAAATGCACAATGAAAATGTTAGATAATGTTTTAATTTATTAAGGATATAACGTTTTCAATCCTACCTGCTGTTGTGTGTAAATTTACTTTAATGATCTGAAACATTTACGTGCAAGAAATATACAACTAACTAAAAAAAAAATCAAGAAGTGTGCAGATATTTTTCATGGCATTGAATAGGACAGAGAATTGTATAGGATTTCCTACCTCATCTAAATCTTGTGAAGACAGTTAAATTTTTTATTTCTGGAGAAGCAGTTGCCTTCTTGCTCTGTAGATCTTTGGCATATCTTTTTTTTTTCAGCTGGAGGAGCAGCTGAGTCGTCTGCAGAGAGAGAAGAATGACCTGCAGTCAAGAATGGAGGAGGACCAAGAGGACTTCAATGAGCTGATGAAGAAACACAAGGCTGCTGTGGCCCAGGTATGATTTCTTTCTTGTTTAATGTACACTGGCAATAAAAAGTTTGTGATCCATTTCAAATGATCATTAACGCCAATAAAATGTTGCTTCATGCCTTGTTTTCCATTTTTGGGGGTTTCAGTCAGCTCAGAACCTGGCTCAGATCAGTGACCTTCAAGCCCAGCTTGAGGACGCCCTAAAGGAGAAGCAGGAAATTCAAGAGAAGGTAGGTGATGACTTTTGTTCTTGGCATAAAAATGGAGAAGTGGCATGGTCAGCCAGGCTTTACTCTGTCATAGAACAGAAAATGGGAATAATAATAATAATAATAATAATAATAATAATAATAATAATAATAATAATAAATGGTAGAGATGCAAGCAGTATGTTTTTGCTCTATTTGAGCACTCAAGTTCTCCAAACGTGTGAAAAGCTGGGAAAGGAGTAGCATAATTTAAAAAAAACAAAACAAAACAGGAGGATAGAGTAAGTGTACAGAAATTCAGTCCTTTCATCATCAAAACATAAAAATAAAAAAATAAAAATTTTGAATTAGAGACTCTTTAAAAGTCAAATGTGAACAACTTAGGTGGATCTGTTTTGGGGATATTTCATCTTCCAGAGGACTCCATTAGGTCTTTATGGTTAGTCAAGTTTTGCAGCACTCACTTAAATATGGATAGCTTAATTCAAACAGTGGGTTGGTTTACCTTTTATGTTTGGTAGTACAACCAGTGTAAAACTAGGAAAATCTTGACACCCAATAATTTTTCTGTATCATATTGTATGCCAGGGGTCGGCAACCTTTATGATGATGAGTGCCATCTAAAATTTCCTCAGAAGTCAATGTGCCATATAATTGCATTAGCAATAAATTTAATAACGCTCTATACTAACAGTTACACACTATATAGAACAACTTTATAGAAATATATTTGTTCGCAGATGTTGGCAGCTATCAGCGAATAGTTATCAGCTATTTTGAAACAAAAAAAAAGAGAATTCTTATCCATAACAAGAACTCCATAACAGCAAATGAACTGTACAACAGAAAATGCAAATTCTATTTATAGTATCCTCACAACAATGATAAGAAAAATAAACTGTGCCAATATGGCATGTTTGTTAATACAGGGATACACATGTTAATCTGATCTCTGGTCTCCCACTCAGAGACACAGGTCTCCGAGTGTCCAGCATTCAGATGGCTACCTGAGGACTCTCTTTGTGTGAGAGAAAATCTGCTCACACAGATATTGGAGCCAAATACTGTCAATAATGCCTCTGCAATGTTCTGAGGACAGTTAAACTAGTCAGGTAGTGATATCCAGCAGGTGAAAATGCAAGCTCCATGAACACGCACAGCTGTGGATTCCAGCTGAGTTCGTAGTTCTGCAAAACTTGAACCCCACAGAGTCGAGCTTTTCAGTTCAATCAGCTGCATTTCGATGTCCTCTGTGTCCAGCCAGTTAATGTGAGACAAATCCAGCTGCTCATTAAAGCTTTCTGGTTTGATCAGAAAAAAAACATTGGTCCATACACCTGAAAGTCCCGAAAACACATTGTGAATTCTGTCTCGAGTCTACGGATTTCCGTGGTGCTGATGCTGCGCTGAGCGGACAGCTCCTGAAGCATTTGAAGTGTTGGAATGTGGAAATTTCAACATCGCTCGAAAAAACTGCCAGCTAGCAACGTCCCTCTCACCGGTTATGTTATTTTTAGCCAATTACAAGTAGATTCTGGTAGTTGGGGTTGTTAGCTAAGATACCGTCATTAAGAAGCGGCACAACTAATGTATCTATGCAAGCTAATTTGCGATGTGCACTGCTGGCG